ATGAATGTAAATTTAAATTTTTGCATAATTTACTTTAGACTTAATTATTCCATTAAATTACTCAATTTATCATTAGTTGAATTTTCAAGAGTACTTTTATTCTTTTTCATTTTTTTTTTTTCCAAGGATGACGAATAGAGGAATGGCGTTTTTGTCCTCAATTCTGGTGCTTATTTCATTTTGCTAATTATTTTTGTTCTCAATTTTAATACTCATTTTAAGTATTAATTTGGTTTCAAAATGCAATTAAACCTAATTTTGGTACAGATTTTTGACGTAATAAATGCTTTTCTAGGAGTGTTCAACGCCAAATATTTCACGTATTAGTGGCGTATCCTCTATGGATCCAAAGTATATTCCTGGCGTAAAAAGTGACGGAATTCCGTTACATCCACAACCGTCAACTAGTATCAGTACTTCAGCCGTTTCAACAGCTACATATAGAGATTTCTTTGTACCATCCGCTGGTACAACCGCATATCAACATCCAATGCATAGTTTCTTTTCAGGGTTTGCTTTCTTTTGTTAAATTAATTTGAGATTATTTTACCCACAAGAAATTGGCCTAGAAATTATTTGTAAAATTGCAAAAAGCTTTCCTGTCACTGAACTGAAATTGTCATAAACGGTTACAACCTGAATAATTGTCGAATAGTTGATGGAATTGCAACCTGAATGGTTGATGGAACTGTAACCTGAATAGTTGATGGGAGTGTAACTTGAATAGTAAATGGAATTGCAACCTGAATAGTTGGTGGAACCTGAATAGTTGATAGAATTGCAACTGAGTAGTTGTTGGGATTATGATCTGAATGGTTGATGAAATTGCAACCTGAATAGTTGATGGGAGTGTAACCTGAATAGTTCGGAATTGCAACCTGAATAGTTGATGGAGTTGCAACTGAGTAGTTGTTCGGATTATGATCTGAATAGTTGATGAAATTGTAACCTGAATAGTTGATGGGATTGACAAATTGCCAAAAGTATAATAAATCGAGAGATCAGAAACTACGGTTACTTTTGGATTTTAATTTCAACTTACTGTAAGTTTGAGCATATTTTAAAGTAGTAAGTACGGTAATTAATGAGTGTTTGCTAATGAAGAGTAAGTTTATTTATTTCTTTAGCATAGAAACCCGTTTTTCGGGATATTTGATCAAAAGCATTCCTGGCATCCTAGCAATTTTATCAAACTTCATACTTGTCTGGTATGACTCAGACATTGTCGAGGTTAAAGATTGGGACATTTTGTTGATAAATGTCACCTGAGGAAAATTCAGTTTCCGATGTACATTGATTCATTAAGCATATATCGTAGACGAAAGAGTTTGGTTGGGATTCAGGAAATTGAACGGTAGAAGATCATCAAACAGTGAATATGATTCATTTTTCTGGGTGCACCTTCTTTCATCTGACCACTGTGACAGTATCGGAATTGCACTTCACAAATCGATCGAGAAACAGTTTGTTTAGAGGTTACTTCAAAAAGACAATTTTTTCTATCTCATTGGTCAAGCAGTGTGGCACATATTTATCTCTTCATCTTTCTCATTTGCTCCAAAACAATAGCAAATTGATGATGGTCAGTTTTTTGTGATTAATGACGGATCACTCTATCCTCATCTTTAAGAAACTTTTCAAATTAAAATTCTTGACAATTTCAAAGTTAGATGTTACCATCCAATATAGGATTTATACCAAAAAAAATAACATTTAAATCTGCTTAATTACAAACAAATGCAAAACAAAATCTTAGCATAAAATAATAAGTAAGCATTAAACTTTCGACATTCCACACAAATTGTATATCATTCTTGCGTCATTCTAATTAACATCATGTTAAGCTAAAGTAGTATCATTGAATCTTGCAGGCTATATTATAAACATTAAAAGCTTAATTTTCATTTCTTTTTTTTTCTACTTCCCTCATTCCTGTTAGCTTTATCAAGTCTGTAGAATATTGAAAATTAACATGAATACAATTTATTGAAAAGAAGAATGAATAATATAGAATTTTGACTTGTTAACATCAATCGTATCTTCTTCATCCAT